AGCCTGTCTTCTCTTGAGAGCCAGGTCTGCCTACGGCGGCCTTTCTCAATAGCAAGGCTATGCTCACTGAGTCTGTACATAGTCAAAGCTTTTCTTAAGTTTGGGTCAGTCACAGTGGTCAGGTATTCTGCCACTGTGTACTCTCTGTTTAGGGCCAAATAGCATTCTAGTTTGCTCTGTTTTTTTGTTTGTTCTTTCCAATGTGTCAAGTAATTCTCTTTTTGTTTTCTCATGATTTGGTTGGGTCTAGTTGTGTTGTTGTTGTTGTTGTCCTGGGGCTGTGTGGGGTCTGTTTGTGTTTGTGAACATAGGCCCAGGACAAGCTTACTTAGGGGACTCTTCTCCAAGTTCATCTCTCTGTAGGTGATGGCTTTGTTATGGAAGGTTTGGGAATCGCTTCCTTTTAAGTGGTTATAGAATTTAACGGCACTTTTCTGGATTTTGATAATTAGCGGGTATTGGCCTAATTCTGCTCTGCATGCATTATTTGGTGTTTTACGTTGTACACGGAGGATGTTTTTGCAGAATTCTGCATGCAGAGTCTCAATTTGGTGTTTGTCCCATTTTGTGAATTCTTGGTTGGTGAGCGGACCCCAGACCTCAGAACCATAAAGGGCAATGGGTTCTATAACTGATTCAAGTATTTTTAGCCAGATCCTAATTGGTATGTCAAATTTTATGTTCCTTTTGATGGCATAGAAGGCCCTTCTTGCCTTGTCTCTCAGATCGTTCACAGCTTTGTGGAAGTTACCAGTGGCGCTGATGTTTAGGCCGAGGTATGTATAGTTTTTTGTGTGCTCTAGGGCAACGGTGTCTAGATGGAATTTGTATTTGTGGTCCTGGCAACTGGACCTTTTTTGGAACACCATTATGTTTGTCTTACTGAGATTTACTGTCAGGGCCCAGGTCTGACAGAATCTGTGCAGAAGATCTAGGTGCTGCTGTAGGCCCTCCTTGGTTGGTGACAGAAGCACCAGATCATCAGCAAACAGAAGACATTTGACTTCAGATTCTAGTAGGGTCTCTCTCTCTCTCTCTCTCTCTCTCTCTCTCTCTCTATTTCTCTCTCTCTCTCTCTCTCTCTCTCTCTCTCTTGCTCTCTCTCTCTCTCTTGCTCTCTCTCGCTCTCTCTCCCTCTTGCTCTCTCTCTCGCTCTCTCTCTCTTGCTCTCTCTCTCTCTCTTCTGCTCTCCTCCTTTCTTGCTCAATCTCTCCTCTCTTGCTTTCTCTCTCTCCTCTCCCTCTCGTCCCCTCATCTCCTCTCGGGGGACAATCTCTCGAAAACCATCTTCTTCGCTCTCTCTGCTCTCTCTCTCTCTCTCTCTCCGCTCCCTCTCCTCTCTCGTCTCGTCCATTCTCTCTCTCTCTCTCTCATCTACTCTCTCTTTCTTTCTCTCATCCGTCCTTCTCTCATCATCTTCTCCTTCCCGTCTCTCTCTCTTCCGTCTCCTCTCATTCTTCTTTCTCTTCTCTCTTGCTCGTCTCTCTCTCTCTTGCTCGCTCTCTCTCTCTCTCTGTCTCTCTCTCTTTCTCTCTTGCTCTCTCTCTCGCTCTATCGCTACCTCTCTCTCTTGCTCTCTCTCTCTCTATCACTCTCTTTCTCTCACACAACCCCCCCGCTCTCTGTCCCCCTCTTCTCTCTTCTCTTTTTCTCTTTTCCCGCGCCCCCCATCTCTGGTTTTGCCCTCTGAGAAGATGGGAGGAAGATGAGGGGAAGAGTGGAGGTTAGATTAGATGAGATTGGGGTTTGTTTTTTGCACTTGGGACAGTCTAATGCCTGTTCATCTGTTTTCAGCCCTGAACTACGACCCTCAGACTGATGAGACTGTGTACGTGTGTGTGTGTGTGTGTGTGTGCGTGTGTGTGCGTGCGTGCGTGTGCGTGTGTGTTTGCGTGTGCGTGTGTGTGCGTGTGCGTGTGCGTGTGTGTACGTGTGCGTGCGTGTGCGCGTGCGTGCGTGCGTGCGTGCGTGACGTGCGTGCGTGTGTGTGTGTGTGCGTGTGCGTGTGCGTGTGCGTGTGTGTGTGCGTGTGTGTGTGTGTGTGTGTGTGTGCGTGTATGATGTGCGTGTGTGTATCATACCTTGGTACTGGGCACTGAAGCCCCTCAGCTTGTGGTTTCCATCAGAGGTAAAGTGAAGTCTCAGCCAGTTCTTGCTGCTGATGATGGGAGATGGCAGGTTAGGACCAGTGAACCTGCACACACAGAGAGGAGAGGAGAGAGAGTTTGAGTTTAATGTACAGTTTGAAAGGGAAGCTAGAATTCAAACCCCAGCATTGGTATTCCTACTAACAGGTTAGATTATCCATACAATGAAGAGATCCTTTAATCATTGTCTTTTTCCAAGAACCCTTCTCCAAACCATAAGAGACTAACTGAAACTGTGAAGCCTCTAATAGCCCTTCAAAATAGTTCTGAATCACAATATATCATTCCACACTGAATCATTCATTGCAGGGCTGAACCACAAAAATTAAATAAAATAAAGAAATATATTAACT